TGCGGTGGGGCCCCCCGCGGGGGACGGGGGCTGAGCTGCCTCCCTGGAAGCGTCTGCCAAACATAAGCTTTTAGTCCCAAAATATGATTTATAACCCCCCCCCAGGGGAGAACACGGAGTGCTGCCCCCTCGCACCCTGCCCTACCCCAGGCCCTGCAGCCCCAGGGGAGGGTCCCAAGCCCCGCAGCGGAGGGTCCGGGAGCGGCAGGGACATGGGGCTTGGTATGGGGCAGGACAGGCTTGCACCTGGATTGTGCGACTGAAGGAAATCCCCTTGTCAGGACTCAATTTCCCCTTGGGGAGAAGGGGCCAAGTGGCCCAAACCTCCGACTGGGGTTTGCTGGAGGCCCGCTGCTGCCCGTAGTGCTTTGGGAGAGAAGACAACGAAGCTGCCAAGCAAAGATGCGACACGGGAAGCCAGAAAAAGGCCGTACCTCCCCTCCTCCTTGGACTACTGCTCACGCTTCTCTCCGTCTGCTCTTGAGGTCGGTGTGATTCTCCTCTTACCTCCTTCTTGAAGAGCTCTGGGAATAAGGAGGAAAAAGAGGGGCCCTCCCCTCTTCACCGTCAGTCAGCGACGAGCATGTAGAGCAGAAGCCCGATGACCACCATGGCTCGCAGGAGGGCTTCTGTGAGAAGCAGCAGTGTGCCTAAGACGAAGATGGCCAGCAGCTCTGCCCAGCTCACCAGTGCTGCCAACCACATAGGGGCTCTGTAAAGCAATGAGGGAGAAGAGGATGAGAGCAGGCAGGAGGATCTGGGTTAAATTCCTCAAACATCAGGTGGGACACCTCTCCTAGGGCACAATCCCCCAAACCATACTATCATGTAGTGGGGATGCTCTGCTTAACAAACCCCACAGAGAGGCTCCACCCTTCTGTTTCCGACAGATTAGTAAATGTTCTGACCTCCCTGTTGCAAAACCAGTAACGAAACAGAAAGCCACTGGGCATGATTTTCAGCGCTGGAGGAAGCCTCAAGAGGTCACCCACTCCCATGGTCCTCAGGCAGTTGCCTGCAGACCTCTGGGGGGAGAAGGGCCACAAATCCACCCCTCCGTATACACATTCCTCCTCACACACACAAACGAACAGCCCATGAATCCACCTCTCCAGCACCCCAGCCGCTGGCTCTGCGTGCCACCCCATACCCTTTCTTTTACCAAAATTCCCCACTCCCAACCGTTGCCAACTTTCTTCTTCCCCTGCATAAAGCAATGTTAGCCACTCGCCACCGAGGCAGCGCAACCATCAGCCGGGCTTCTCCCCGCCACGTCTCGGAAGGGTTTGCTGCAGTGCCAGGACAGGCAAGTGTCCTGGTTTGGGCTGAGATAGAGTTAATTTTCGTCACAGTGGCTTTGCATAGCGTTGAGTTTTGGATTTAGTACTAGAAGACTTGCCAACATGCTGATTTTGCTTTACCTATTAAACTGGTTTTATCTCAACCTATGAGTTTCCTCACTTTTACCCTTCCAATTCTCTCCCTCATCCCACTGGGGGAGGGGGGGGGAAGTGGCTGGGTGGTGCTGAGTTGCTGGCCGGCGTTAAACCAAAACAATGACGAGGACCCCATCACCCAAAACACCTTACTCGAGCGGCAGTTGGCTGTCGGAGGTGAACGCTGCCAACCTCCTTCTTTTATGTGTTTTTCTTCCTAGGTAGCGGTTGGTGGGTCTGTGAGGGCAGGTAACTACGAGAGGGGAAGACAAAGCCTTGTTATGGAGCAGAACAATTTGAGGGGGGAGAAAACAAAAGCAGACCAACTGGAAACTTTTCCAGGCACACAAGCTGTGGCAGGGCAAACGGAACTGGGTTTGTGTCCTCTTGCCCGGGAATGAACACCAAAGAACTGGGTGGGCCTGACAGATTGCACCGTGACAGGAACGGCGGCTGCGGGGACGCCTCACAGCTGCAGGCTGAGGGGCTGTGCTCTGAGGGGACACCAGAGCCTCCGGGGCACCGGGAGGGTCTC